TACTTAGATATTATATGTATTTTTGTATGAAGAACAAGTTTATTTAGTAGCAGAACTAAGATTGACTTAGTATAAAAGGAAGTTATAAGCTGTTTTTAATTAATTAGGTTGGAGAGAGTTTGTATACGAGTGATAAACAGAGAGAGTTCGATATAATTATTTAGTAAAATTTTGAGAATTATATAATTTTTTATAATTTTATTAATAAAATTATGCAAAATGTTATTGATCTTAACTTTTTACTAAGTAAATCTCTCTTTAACTTCTAATTAAAGTTGTAGAGGAGTGTCTTTCGATCAAAATAGCAGTTAAATTAGTAAACTCGGCCTAGTTGATCGTGAGATATAAGTATTTTTATCTTAATGGCTATTTGTTTCTTTATTTATATAAAGAAGAAATATATAGTTACAAGAACTAAAATACTTATATCTCACGATTTACTGGGCCGATTTTAATGTTTTAACTGCTATTATAATCGCAAGACACTCTTCTGCAACTTTTCTTTTTTTTTTTAATATTAAAGATGACCACTTAGGCCATTGGCACGAGCTTTATTCGGATAGTTATAATATTACATCAGATTCACAAGGGTACAACTAGCCACACGTACACCTTTTGAGTATCTAATTTAAGTAGTCCACCTGGGTTCTACACTAGCCACCATACCTGCAATCTAACTAGGAGATTATCTATTTAAGCTCTCTGGTTATTACTAACGAGAGTATGACTAGCTATACATGCAACTTTTGATTGCCTATTTAAGTAGTCTGCCCTAGGTTCTACACTAGTTGCCGTATCTATAACCCAACTAGGAGGTTACCTATTTAAACTCTCTGGCTTCCTCTTTTGTAACCCCTACCCTAACACCCATTCGGGATTAGCAATTACCATAAATGACCCTAAGACTTTAGCCAAACTGTATTGGGGCATTTGTCCTTGTAGTAAACCTAACAAAGCGGTATATGTCCCACACATGTGCTCATCTGCATGTTTAGTAAGTTTTCCCCAACTAGTACATGTTGTGCTGCTGCTATCGGGTCCATATCTCAAGCTATCATTTCAGATACTGCCGGAACCCGATTCGTATCTTAAGCCACAACCTTCCTAATTAGTTCCCACTTATGTACTCCTGCTCTTGCAAGGTTTACAACAACCCCGGTACCTATATTCCAACTTCCTTCTTTTCCAGATTCCTTACTAGTTCCTCCCTAACTTCCAGCTGGCAACCCGGAAGGGTCAGTCTGCCTAGGCTTTAGATGCCTAACGGTCTCCCTTTCCTTGGTACATGCTTCCAGAGCATATGTCCTTTTTCTCCAGTTTTGGCGACCTGGCAGTTCAGCTAATGTGTCCCCCCACTTAAGGACCTGGTCGCTCGGTTCTCCGGTCTTAGTTTCCGGTTCCAAATTTAGTCTTCCTGTAGCACCGTCAAAGATCACTGCTACTCCCAACTCGGGACTTGCCAAACGGGTTTTCAGTAATTCTGGTTTCCTGGATTTATTGTGCTGAAGCTTCCATTCTAGATGGTGTGACTAAGATTACAGATATCTGGATCTAGCTGATAATTTTAATGTTAACCGATACTGATCTAGTTTTTTCAAAATCGTCATCCATGGGATTCAAACTCTAGACCTGCCGCTTGGGGGTGTAGCAACCTCACTACTTCACTAAGTTGCCACACTCTCTCTTCTGCAACTTTACTTAGAAGTTGAAATAGGTTTATTTAGTAAAGAAAAAAGATTTCTTTAAAAAATTCCAGATTTGAAAATTCTAAAAAATTTTACTATAAACCATTACTAAACCTGAACTAAACATGAACCTGACTTAAAAGTTCAATACTGAACCTGAACTGGACATAAACCTAACTTAAAAGTTCAATACTAAACCTGAACTGAACATGAACTTGACTTAAAAGTTCAATGTTAAACATAATTAAACTGAACCTAAACCTGAATCTGACCAAAGTTCAGTTTAGTTCAGGTTCATAGAAACACTACTCATGTGCTATTAGGTTAAACCCAACTTAGTAGATGGCTTTTCTTCGATTGAAGAGTTCTAGTGCTAGGTGTTCAAAGTTGTTTAGGTAGTAGCATACTTGGTAGGTGTTGTCATAAGATCGACTAGAGCCTATATATTCTAAATTTTCTTAGTAAGCAGTTCCTAACTTTTCATATTCTAGCACAGAAGTCAATCAGATTCCTGGTTCTAACACCTCTTTGCACATAGACAAGTTGGTTTTTTTCTTTTGCTTATTTTTCCTGCTTTTCCCTTTTTAATTTCTCGTTTTCACTTTTCTCTATTGCTATATATACTTTCATGGCTTCCTCTTCCATTCCATTTAATCAGAATAATATATTTGCAATCCAATGGGTACACCCTGACCTATACTAGATCATGTAATTATACAGTTGTAGATGGAGTATTCAACGGGCCCTCTTACTCTACAACTTCGTACTATGCAGCCACTTAAGTGCCAAATAGTCAGTTATAATAACGAATAGCTGTCGTATGGGGTTAACAGATGGGCTTAACCACTTGAAATCTGGCTCAGAATCGTAACGTCTCCTCTGGACACACAGCATCGGTGAGACCATTTTGACTTAATTCACGGTTGAGCAACACTTTATTGCAACAATGTCATGCTTACAACTTACAATAGCAAAGGTATGTACTTATTTATTTCGTGATTTTTATTGAGCTTGAGAGAAAGAGAAGTTTTTCTTACTAATCCCTTTCTCTCTTTATATTACATCGTTAATGTAATAAACTACAAATTAATGACACATTTCTTATGCGTGATTACGCACATATTACAACTAAACTATGCCTGCATGATTATTTACTGATCTAATTAATGTATCGTCATGCTCATAATACTATTCCAAGCCATCGATTCCCGCATGCAAACCCAATCCACTAATCCTGACCAAATCACTTCCAAATATGCCCCAAATGTAGTACAAAGGGTACTGGTCTTCGCTACGACAATAGCTTAAAGCCAAAATAATTATAGTAGTATTCTACTACCCAAATAACCACCAGGCATTCTTATTTACATGCTAAGTAGTTCCTTTTGGCTTTGAATAAGCTATGACTGATATACAAGATCACATATTCCTTCCCATTGGCTTCTTTTAGGCTAAAATAGCTCCTAACCCCATTCGGGATATATTGGTATACAAGTGAATATATTGTAAAAGTCAGGATATTTGAGAATAAGTGCTGTAATTAGGTGATTTTTTAATGTTTTGAATGCTTCTTATTGATATGGCCCCATTCAAATCTAATATCTTTTTGTAGTAGATGGTGTAAAGGTCTTGCTATTGCTGCAAACTCGGGGATAAATTTTTAGTAATACGATGCAAGACCAATAAAGCCTCTTAACTGTCAAAGATATCAGGTACAGGGTAGTTTTTAACTTTCTTTATTTTACCCTCATCAGACTATATCCCTTGCCATCCAATGATATGTTCAAGAAAGTAATAGTAGGTTTAAAGAATTCATACTTTTTAATATTAATTTTCAACCCTACTTCAGCTAACTTATTGAAAACCTTCTTTAGGTATCTCAAGTATTTGTTAAAAGTATGTGAGTAGATATTGATATTATCAATGTAGACAGTTAGGAATTTTCTAATATACTCCTCCAAGATATGATTCATCAACTATTAGAAGGTGGCTAGTACATTTGAGAGTTTAATGTTGAACACATACAGACCTCCCTGTATTATGAAAGCCATCTTCTCTTTGTTTTTTTCATCAATCTTCACCTACCAATATTCACTTTTCAAGTCTAAACTAGAGAACCAATTCCTGGTACTAAAGGTCTCTAGTAAGTCATCTATATGAGGCAGCAGGTAAGAGTCTTTTCTTATTACTTTATTCAACTTTCTATAATCTATATATAGTTGTAACTTCCCACTCTTCTTTGGAACTATGATTACAGGCGAAGCCCATGGGCTATTCAATTTTCTAATTAATCCTTTTTCTTTCATTTCTTATAGTTCCTTCTCAATAAACTCTGCTTGTTGGGTGCTGCCCTATATACCCTTTGCTTTAACAGCCTAGATTGCTAGTCTCAATTCAGTGAGTTATCACCATTATTTCTCTAATTCCTTGCATATTGCTTGCAAATAGAGTTCTTTCTTGTCTAAAGAACAATGCTGTCTTCTTCTTTGCCTCTTTATCCAGATTGTCTTCCAGGAACTGCTCTATCTATTTTTCTACTATAAGTTCAGTTTTGTTATCTTCCTTTGTCGACATTTCTTCTATGTTTGTCAAATACAAGGCTGGGCTTATTACTTCTTCCCAGAAGTTATAGAACAACTTATTATTTTCTTCAATGTTTTCCTCTGTATAATAACCCTCTGCATCAATTAATTCTTTGTCCTTATAGGTGTATTCGTCAAATTTATCTTTGTTATCACTTCCGAGCTGGTCTCTTTCTTCTGGAATTTCTAACTTCTTCATTCCATTGTTAGAGATAGGTATCTCAATCTGTCTTCTGTCATGTTTCAAGAACAGCTATTGTTTGTCGAAGTAGATTCATGCTTGGCCTTTGAAACTAATTTTTACCAAGTAGTAAGCTTTCATCAATAGGTTCGATGACCTGGAAAGTACTAGATAGGAGGGTGTCTTGAATAGCTACTTCTATATTCTCAATTTGCCCTAGAGCTCACGTTCTGGTTTCAGTTGCTATAATTACCACTGTAGCTGAAGGTTTGTTTATTTTCAACTTTAATTTGTCTATGAGTTTCTTTGTAATTATGCTAATAGTGTGCCTAAGTTCAGTACAGCTTGTATAGGGTTGCCTCTAATCCTTATGTAATAATAGCTGGCTATTGTTCTATGGGCATTACTAAAATTCACCATCTGGGTTTCTTGAATTTCTGGATTTATCTAAATTTCTCTAGGTTCTTGAGCTGTGAGGGTCGATATAATATCTGGGCCAAGTTTCTTCTCTAGTTCAGATATTGGAGTAGTGGCCGTACATGGCATTCATTTGTGATTGCAACAGATCATCTGCAATATTATATAAAGCAAGTTTACCTATAATGGATAGTCCCCTTTTTCACCTTGATTTCTTGATTGGTCTTGCCTTACTCAGCTCTATTAGTTCTGGCTGATTCCCTACATCAATTAATGAGGGTTCATTTTTTATCCTGGGTTAAAGCCTATTATTCCACTTTGAATCTGGTTGCAATCTAGGTCTTTTTTCAGCAGTATTGAGTTGCACTTGTTACTTTCTTTTATCTACCATATATACTTTGTCACTATCATATTTATAGTCACAGTAGTTTACTCTTCTAATGTTATTCATCAGTCATCTTTTCTCTTTATTAGGTTCCCTGAACTTCTTTTCTGACATGCAGTATCTCACAATGTGTCCTCTCTTGCCACACCAGTAATAACTGATTTCTTTTCTGGGCTTGGAGTTCTTCTTAAACTTTTCTTTTTCATGTGTATTCTTTTCTTGTTGGTTATTTGCCACAACATAGTTAACTGATAGTTGTTGCACTTGTTTTACTAATGCCTCAATTATTTTATCCTTTTTATTAGTGATTACTGGAGCTTCATGCATATGGGCACTATAATATTCTCCTGCTTCTACCTTTCTTGCTGCCACAATTGCTTCATTGAGGTTATTCAGAGATGTTACCACCTTGAAGGTTGTCATTTTCTCTTTTAGACTACTCAAAAACATTCGTATAATATATTGGGCAGGTAAAGAATCATCTGGGTCTATCTGACTTAGAAGCTTCTTAAACTTTGTGGCATAGGCATCTACCTTTTTGTTTTCAAGTTGGGTGAGGTTGTTCAACTGGATTTGCTATTTGTGCTGCTTTTTGGGAGTAGCAAAGAAAGTGACTAATAAGTGGTAAAAACTCTTATCTTGCTTGTCATCATCCTTCCATCCCTCTATGTTGGCTTTATTATTCTTGTACTATTCTGCGGCCATTCCTTTTAAGTACCTGAATACTATTTTTAGTTTTCTTTCGT